TATTTTTGAAAAAAAAAAAAAATTTGTATTTTTTTGTTTTTTTTTTTAAATCTTACTTTTTTACAGTATAGGTTTAAATATAGGATGGAATAAAAAAATAAATTAAATTATAATTTATTGAATTTTTATTTATTTATTTATTTTATATAATAAAAAAATATTTTTTATTATTAATGGACTTACCAAATATTTAACAATGTACCAACAAATATAAAATATTTTTTTATATCATTTTAATATCGATATTTGTGTGTGTGTTTTAATGAGTTTGGGGCATTGATCAATATGATTTTAGAATGATAAAATGGTCGGGAATTCCGAAATTATTGTTTTCGATTTTTGTTTTTTAATAATTTGTTGTTTAATTAAATAATAAAATGCAAATTGTATAGAACTTAAAAAAAATAAACATATAAATAAAATTGTTCTTAAATGTTGATAAAAATTTAAAATATTTATTAAAATTTTATGTAATTATTTATTCTTATTGGAGAGAAAATTGTGTATGTACAATTCATTAATTATATAAATTGTTTAGCGCAATATTTTTGAAAATATATGAAATAAAATTTTTATTAGAAAAAACACCAAAATAACATAAAAACTGAAATTCTGGAGTAATTTTTCATTTAAATTTTTGTATATTATAATATAAGACAAACCACATAGCACGCGGAACCAAGATATTCAATGCGTGTGTTAAATCAGTGCTGCTTTACGGAAGTGAAACATGGTTGTGTATCCAAATCTAATATGCAGAAGATACAGGTCTTTGTAAACAAATGTCTAAAAATTATATGTAGAATATTCTGACCAAGAAAACTTATGAACTAAGATCTGTGGCTGATGACGAAAAAAGAACCAAAAGACAAACAAATAAGAAGAAAAAAAATGGAAGTGGATTGGCCACATTCTAAGGCGCACAATAACATCGAGTCCCAAAGGAGAAGAAGTGTGAAGAAGGAGCTATAACAATCAGGCAGAACATGGGCAAAAATAAAGAGATTAGCACAAAATAGAGAAAATTGGAGAGGCTTTGTTGAAATCCTATTATTCCCAAGGGAAAGAACAAGGAAACAAAAAAAAATATAAGAATAAACATTTTTATATTAATACAATTTATCTGCATACTTACTTGAATGTTTGATATTACTGGTAACAAACATAATTCAAAAAGCAAAATACCTAAACAGTCTTCATAATTATTTTAAAGCACATGTATCAAAAAAATTACTCGTTGGTTTTTTTTTCTTGTCTTTCAGTGTACTTATAATAATTTTATACGAAAGGAAATAAAATAATATAATTTTCTTTTTTGTTTTGAAAAAAAGAAACATTGTACATAGAAAGCTTATTATAAGGAAATTCCGTAGCCAGACAAGAAAGTTTTCAAAAATCATAAGAACAAAACGAATGAAAAACAATATAACAAAAAAAATAAAAGAAAAAAAAATTCTAATGTCATCTTTACGGTAATATATGAAAAAAAAAAAACAAAAAATTGGAATATAAACAGAAAGCTTTTTCCATTAACAACGAAGATTTTACTTTTATGATTCATTTGATTTACCCTATACAATTTTATGTGTACATATACAAATGAACATAAACAAATTTATATGCAAAATATAATTTATAGGCTCCTATATATGTATGTATAGGTATATAACAAAGAGTACAAGTTTAATTTGCGTGTTTATATAATTTCTATATGTTTTATTTGCATTATACAAACACAATACCATTCAAATATGTTTAACAGTACTTGTAAATAACGGAGCTTTTTGAATTTTAATGTTTTTCTGTTTAATATTTTATGTAGTTTTTATTCGAAAAATGTAGTAGTTTATAGTATTTAATGCATATTTGAAATTCATTTTTAATAATATTTTTTTTGTTCTTCTTATTCTTTAAATTTGACTTTAGTAATATTAAGGTAAATGGGCAGCATTTTTATTCTGAATAAAGTTCAGTTTTTGTTTTATTATACCTAAAAATGTGTACGTGCGTTAGCTCTTTCTAATAATTAAATGTAAAATGTAAACATATAAGCATTAATATGGTAAAGGACATATTGAGTATTTTTTATTATACTCACATGTTTATTGTATGAATGTGGTGAGTGGCATTGCATTTGCATACAAAATACTTGAATAATTTTCAAATTGCTTGTTTTCTTTTTGTTTGCGTTGTAAACTAAAAGGATTTTTAATATTTAATTTTTTTTATATTTTCTTTTGTGTGTAAAATTTTTTTTAATCAACTGGTCAAATTTTATTGTTTTTGCTTTTAAAAATCTGTTATCCATTGAATTGAATTGAATTGAAAACTTTGATTTTTCTTTATTGAAGTTCATATACATTGCTTTTGCGTTACACACTTGCACTTAATGCACATGGCCCTATTACTCAAAAAATAACAAGTTTTTGGAAAAAATATAAAAATAAAAAAAAGTCTAGAATAAGTTTCTACATCCATATTGCCTATAATAGGATGCCTATAATAATCTACACAAGCGGGTACTAGTACCCGATGCTCATAATGTGTTAACGTTCACCAGCGTTTAGGGTCGTACTTAGTAGGGAATGGCTTTCGACAGTAAGAATTTAGAGAATGGATGACTACCGTAAACTACAGTTAAGTCAAATAAACTTGTTTGATTTCTATATTCCGATAACATAAACCATAGCCTGAGCTTTTTATAAACTGAATGATCTCGCTATAAGTACTAATTTTTATACGCTTTTCAAGTAAAAAATACAAAAATAATATTTTCATTTATTAACCAGTAAATTTTTCAATACATAGTAATGAATATTATGGCTGCTCCCTATACATTTCAGCATTTTTAATTGGGTTTATATTAATTTGCCACAAGATATAATATAAAATTAAATATAGTACAGGTTTAATATATTTTTCTGTTTAAATATTTGGAAATACAAGATCTTGCAAAATAAATCACTGAAAAATAAATAGTAATGAAATATTTTTGCAGATTTTCATTTGGCATACAAGAAGCGCACGTGTATTTTAAAATATATATATGATATATTTAGATGTATATAATGATGTTGCACATAGGTCATTAACTGTAATTTGTTATTGAAAATTTTTATTACATAATAATAAATGTTTTAAAGAAAACCAAAAAAAAAAAGTAATAATTTATAAGAATATGTCAAGGCATTAGAAATTTGGTCTACTACAAATTTACTTACTAAATTAAATGGTTTAACCATCCATATAAAATTACTAGTTAAAGATGAAAATAAAAAAAAAAATTAAGAAATTTTTTTTTTTATTTAAATGAAAGTTATTTTACGTTTAATGTAACCATTGTATGCTAATTCATAGTTCGTTGATTTTGGCCATCTTATTTCTCTTGTAAAAAAATTTTGATGATTTTCTCTCCAATGTCATTAATATGTGATTAAATGCGAGTATTTACGTATATGCTGGTATGTAAGAATATAACAAATTTTTTAAAAATTAATATTTTTTTTGTATCATTTAAAATAATTAATCACTAAAATAATATCAATTCCATGTGATATTTATAATTAAATTATAAAACAGAAATCGAAATCATTTCAATTAGTATATATTTTTGAAGGGTTCTATACTTGAAGCCTACAACTGTGTCTTTAGCTTAAGCTCTTAGACATTTTTATAAAAATCTTGAATTTTTTTACTATTTCTTAAGTTTTTCGTATAAATATGCAATAAAAATCAAATTATTTTAGAATTTTTAAAAATTATCAAAAAATTAACAAATTATAGACTACAGCGTGTAAGCTAGTATATTAACGGTTGAATATCGAGGTATAGATGAATTGAATTTAAAATACGTGCCCCAGTCCTAATTACTGTTTAAATGAGGGTATAATTAGCATCTGTATTCTGAATTTACATATACATACGTAAGTAAATTTCTACGCTTGAATTGGATTTTTTGAAAATTCGAAATCTATGAAATTTAAAATTTCAATATCATTCCAATAATATAAAATCTGAATTTATACGAATTATATACGATATATCTATATAGAAAACTATAAAAAAAAGGATATAGCAAGGAAAATATTTTCTCCTATTTTTTTTTCATTGTTATCCTTGAATTTATTTTTTTCTTTTTCTTTACAATTTCAACCTTGAATTTTCATGCAAAATATTTTTTCCAAAAAAAAATTGGTTTTTAATTCCAATATATTTGAATTAGTTTAATTGAAGGTGAATGACAAACAAAAAAGGTAAAAATCTGATTTACAAAAAAAAACAAATAGTTACGCACCCTGAAATATTATAGAAAATGACTATTTTTCAAAATTTTATCATTACTTATTATTGTTTTTGCATAACAAAAAAAAATTTTTAAAAGTAAGGGAAATAAAGCAAAATTTCGGAACAATATTCTGAAGATTCTAAAAATAGAATTTAAATGTATAGAGTGAATTTTATATTGTTAATATTCCAATGTTATGAACACCGTATTTCTTTTAAGGTGTTGACAATGTTACCTATGCAATATTATACGTTTTGTATACAATATTAAGTGTAAAAACTTTTTCATTATTCTCAACTCATTTACTGCAACTCCTCCATTTCATTTCTATTATAATAATAAAAATGTATACATGTATACACAATTCAGACCGAAAATAAAATTGATCTTATTATTAATTCACTTCTACACATTTTAGAAATCTTGATAAAGTTTATAAGAACATAAAATTTTCTATAAAACTTAATTCCGAAATCAGCCATCAACTATTATGAGCACAACCATTATTGTGCTCATAATCGTACTCATAAAAACTCTTATAACTTATTGAAATATTCTTTACACAGGAATTCACAATTTTACAACTTTACGATTTTCATATATACAAAAAACTTTAGCAATTTTGACTATTTAGCAAATACATCCGTATTAGTAAATTAAATTACCAAATAAGAACGATCTACATTTTGGATAAAAAAAAAAAATTTTATTTACTTATGCAAAAAAAAAAAAAAATTTATTTTCTAATCTCAATATACATAATATACATAACTAGTTACAAAATAATTACAGTATTTTATATAAATGCATATACCACAATTCCAGGAAAACATTTATCGCCTCGAAGCCAAAATACATACTTATTTTGATTTATTGAACTTTATTTGATTTTTTCGCTTTTATATAAGATGAAATATAAAATTTTCCAAATAAAAATAAAAATATAATCATATAACTTAATTGAGTATAGCTAATCCATAAGGGATAATCACAATTTATTAATAGCAATCTGATTGAATAAAGAGCCGCAATAACAAATTGAATCTAAAGATTTATTTTAAGAAAAGAAAATATATATACATACACATAATATTAATAATAATTATTGTGATTAGAAAATTTAAAAATAAAAATAAATTTTAATTAATATAAAATAGAATTTAAAATTTAACTTACAAGCTGTAATAGAGTTAAGTATTTTTTCCACCAAAGATATTTTTCAAATCTCTTGCCAAAAGCTGCTAATGCATAATATAAATACATTATAACATGAACAAATGAATTTTCCATTGCTGGGAAAAAACCTTTTATATTTTATTGAAAATAAATGAAAAATAATGAAAATTATGTATTAAATATTTTTCTAATTATTTTAGTTAATGAAATAATACTTGATCCAGTTGGAACCCATTTTGTTCCTATCCACCATATTGGAAACATTGTACTATGATGAAATATATGCAAAAATGAAAGTTGTTTATCCTTTTTTCTTAATATAAAGAAGAATGTGTCACAAAATTCAATTATTTTTGATATATAAAACCACCATGTTAATTTCGCTAACTAAAATAAAAAAATAAAATCAAAAAATATTCAAATTTCAAATTATTTTACTTTAATTCTGATTTTATTATTGATATATTAAACTGCGTTTTAATTTTTGGTATTCAAATTACACTTACAAAGATTTCTTCCTCACTAAATATTTCTCTATATGGTTGACAAACATAACTATAATTTAATTTCCTTGTTGTTAGAAATATTCCAAGAAATATGTACAAATTAAGCAAACACATCAAAAAATTATAACTTATCATTAAAAATTTCAGTTGAAAAGGTTTTCGACTAAAAAAAAAAAAAATTAAAAAATATTAGTTATGTATAAAACATATTTAGTAACAAAATTTTATAAAATATTTTAAATAAATTAATTTTTTTTTTATAAATTCTTTATTCATTATATTTTCAATTTAAAATGATTTTATTATCTTACTTTTTCATTAAATTTGGACCAATTAATACAATTAAATAATAGAATCCAATACATCCTAAAACTTCAGTATAAGAATCAACAAGAAGCCATCCTTTAGTTCGCCTATCCACAAGCTCATCTAATTTTGAACTTGAACTATCTAAGTTCAAAAGATAATTAGAAAGATCCGTAAATGTTATAGTACGATTATCCATTGTTGATTTCTTAAGCTGTATATTGAAACTAAATATTATTTTAAATTGAAAATTTTTCAAATATAAAAAAAAAAGAAGAAAAATCATATTCAACCAAGTGTATCGTTTTTATTTTTTTTTTTTAAAAGGTTTTCATTTCGTCAGATCACCAAAAACTTTAAGAATTAATTATTTGGTGATCTACATGATTTGAATTATTAATTATTTTGAAAAAGTTTAGTAGGAATTAATATTTACAAAGATTTTTCAAACATGTGAAAAGAATGTGTAGTTAAAGATTAAAAAAAGTGTTTCATATTTATTTTACAGCTTGTTATAATTTTTTTGTTGTATTTTTACTATAAGCTCAATTAACTTAGTGTATGTAATTTTACATTTTTTTTTTGTTATTTCTTTTTTTGTGAATGCAAACATATACTTTGATTTTGAAAAATTTGCACATATTTATATGACGTAATTTTTTAAAACAAATTCAACCTGTTGTTAATATCCTTACAAAATTATTGTAATTTAAACTCAACCCTGATAATAATAAATTTCTCACCGCTACCTGTAGTATCCACTACAAAGCATATTCTCAATATGGGGGCAGTGTTTACACAATAAACTTTGTCCATGATTTTTTATCAAGCAAAATCCAAAATATGTTAACACATAAAATATTGTTATTAAGCTTATCAAGAATAAAAATTACGAAAAACAAATGAAAGCAAAAATATATGAGGTTAACTTTAAAGAAATTGATAATAAAAGTTATCAACGAAAACATCCCCGTAAGGTAATATTTTATTTTATTTTTTTTAAATTTTTATCAGATCAAATAAAATCCAAGAACAATAACCTCGTTTATATGGCAGCTTGAGTAGTTGACTTAAAATTGACTTGATTGAAGCCTCAAGTACGTTTGAAGTTGCCATGTAAAAGTAGTGATTGTTTGGTGTGTTTAAATTATCTACGTAAATACATACATATTTTAACCTTTTTTGATCAAAATTATTATACCTTTCTCGCTTTGAACAAATAAAAATTGCTTTTGGTGGTGAAGTATTCTAGGAGAATCTAAATAATATGTGAATTCAGGAAAACGTTAGGCGTCTTTCTGGCAAATTGTGAGAATTCATATTTCTCCTTAAATTATTTAAAGGTCTGTTCAAGATAAAATTACGAAAGTGAGTTATTAATACATCACTGACACATTTTTATCTTGAACAGATTTCATTATAATGCATTACATGAATTCCATCTTGTACAGAATTGATTTTATTTTAAGAAATAACATAGGGATGTTGACAATCTGAATTTATTGAAAATAAATGTTTAACAAATTTCCTTCAAAATTTCCTTTGATTTCAGAAAAAAAAACCCAAAAAATATAATTATATCGTAGCGTAAAATTTGCAAATGTTTTTATTGAAAACATGATATTAATTTGACGTAACTTTCTCATAAAAATTTCATTTCATGTTGAACACATTTTATAACAAATTATTCGAGATTAACATAGTCGTAGTCAATGATGATGGAGGATGAGCAATAAAAATTTGCAAAATTGCAAGTAACAACAGGTATCTGAAATAATTTCACTTTTTTTTCCATAAAATAATTCGTCCACTCATAATCATTCTCATGATTGGTTAAAATTCCTTTTTTTTTTGCAAAAACAAGATGTGATTTTTTGAAATTGTTCTATTTTATCGTGTTTCTCATATAAAAACAAATATTTTAGTGGTACCACGTAAAATCATACAAAATTATATAAGTTTAACCAAAAACATCTTAAAAATTTAGCCTTACTATAACCTGCAAAATTTGATTTCATGCAGATTTGCAAGGTATTGATATCATATAGCGACACAATTTGTAATAATTGTGTTATTATTACATATTATTGACATATCGTTAAAATCGTATTCTATCATTTTCAATTTATCTTAAGTATAAAAATTCTATTGTGAATATTATTAGAGACAGAAGTAATTAAGTTTGGTGGGTTAAACATTAAATTTCCTTTATGTATGTTGGTATATTTGATTGATAATTGCCTACAAATTAACAATTCACTTTATTCATAAAATTAACGCGGCTGTCTGAGAAAAGTTATTAATTTAGTAAGATAAATATCAAAAATATTGCGAAAATTATTTAAATATGTCTGCAGTTCCTGAAGGGCCAGGAACGAATGAAAATTCTGTAAGTATAATTGTTCAAGAATATGAAAAAGAAATAGTACAATCTAGAGACGCTACCTAATTTTTCATTAGATACTCGCATACGTACATATGTATATATGTATTATTTTGGATGTAAAAAATTAAATAAATTTAACTTCTTTACTAGAATGATTCTGCTTCTGAAGAAACATCAGAATCTGGTGGAAAACGGGAACATGAATTTGATGACAAAATTGAAATGGATAGAGGAAAGAGATTTGATTTTCTTTTAAAACAGACAGAGATTTTTTCCCACTTCATGAGTGGAGCGAAACCCGGTGGAGGGAAAAAAGGTGCTGTTGGAAGACCGAAAAAAAAAGATAAAGAATTTTCAAAAGAAGATAATCCAGCCGAGTAAGTATTTATATATTTTATGTATTTAATACCTACATGAAGTTAAAATTGAGCTTTGTTGAAGCCTTTAATAATAATTTTTAACCTCACATTTTCTGTTTTAGTCACCGTCACCGGAAAACCGAACAAGAAGAAGATGAAGAACTTTTGGCTGAAGAATTTGCCGAGAAAGCATTATTCCGATTCGAACAGTCACCTGCATACATTAAAGGTGGTGAAATGAGGGATTACCAAATTAGAGGTCTGAACTGGATGATATCGTTGTACGAGAATGGGATTAATGGCATTTTAGCAGATGAAATGGGTTTGGGAAAAACTTTACAAACTATATCATTACTGGGTTACTTAAAACATTTCAAGTAGGGCTAATAATAAAATTAAGAAAATTAAGTTTATTTTCTAATATTTTAATAGAAATTTTGCTGGGCCACATTTGGTAGTTGTTCCAAAATCAACATTACAAAATTGGATAAATGAATTTGCTAAATGGTGTCCATCCTTACGAGCCGTTTGTTTAATTGGCGACGCTGATACGCGAAACACTTTTATTCGTGATGTTTTAATGCCTGGAGAGTGGGATGTATGTGTTACTTCGTACGAAATGTGCATTCGGGAAAAATCAGTATTTAAAAAATTTAATTGGCGGTACATGGTAATAGATGAGGCCCATCGTATTAAAAATGAAAAATCTAAACTTTCTGAAATTTTGCGTGAATTCAAAAGTACTAACCGATTATTGATTACTGGTACACCACTACAAAACAATCTTCATGAGTTGTGGTCCTTATTGAATTTCTTACTCCCGGACGTTTTTAATAGTTCCGAAGATTTTGATGCTTGGTTCAATACAAATTCATGTCTAGGAGATAATCAATTGATCCAACGTCTACATGCAGTTTTACAGCCCTTTTTGTTACGGCGATTAAAATCAGAAGTTGAAAAGTCTTTAAAACCTAAGAAAGAAATAAAAATTTTTATTGGATTGACAAAAATGCAGCGTGAATGGTACACAAAAATCTTACTTAAAGATATTGATGTTGTAAATGGAGCTGGAAAAATGGAAAAAATGCGTTTGCAAAACATTTTAATGCAATTAAGAAAGTGTACAAACCATCCATATTTATTCGATGGGGCTGAACCTGGCCCACCATACACTACTGACGAGCATTTAGTACAAAATGGTGGTAAAATGGTTTTGTTAGATAAGCTATTGCCAAAATTAAAAGAACAGGGTTCGAGAGTTTTAATTTTTTGTCAAATGACTCGTATGTTGGACATCTTGGAGGATTATTGTTGTTGGAGACAATATCAGTATTGTAGATTAGATGGCAAGACTGCACATGAAGATAGAAATAGACAAATCCAGGAATATAACTCGGAAAATAGTGTAAAATTTATATTCATGTTATCAACACGCGCTGGTGGTTTGGGTATTAATTTGTATACTGCTGACGTTGTTATCCTGTATGATTCAGATTGGAACCCCCAAATGGATTTACAAGCCATGGATCGCGCACATCGCATTGGTCAAAAGAAACAAGTGCGAGTATTTCGTTTAATTACAGGTGAATATACAAACCGCACGCATTTTTGTTCTTCAGTGAGTTAATATTTTTTACAATTTCAGAAAACACTGTCGAAGAAAAAATTGTGGAACGTGCTGAAATCAAATTACGTTTGGACAAACTTGTAATTCAGCAAGGCCGTCTGGTTGATAATAGAAATCAGTTAAATAAAGACGAAATGTTAAATATTATTCGTTTTGGCGCTAATCATGTATTTGCTTCTAAGGAATCAGAAATAACAGATGAGGATATTGACACGATTTTGGAAAGGGGTGAACAAAAAACGGCACAATTAAATTCAAAGCTAGATGAATTAGGAGAAAGTTCATTGAGGACTTTCACCTTAGATAATAATGGTGAAGGAAATACATCTTTGTATCAATTTGAAGGGGAAGATTATAGAGAAAAACATAAACTTAATGCTATTGGAAACTGGATTGAGCCCCCAAAGCGAGAACGCAAAGCAAATTATGCTGTTGATGCTTATTTCCGTGAAGCTTTGAGAGTATCTGAGCCTAAAGCTCCTAAAGCGCCTCGACCACCAAAACAACCAATCGTCCAAGATTTTCAATTTTTCCCACCGCGTCTCTTTGAGTTATTGGATCAAGAGATTTACTTTTACCGAAAATCTTTGGGATATCGTGTACCCAAAAATCCAGAACTGGGTTCTGAGGCTGCTAAAACTCAACGTGAAGAACAAAAAAAAATTGATGATGCAGAACAATTGAATGAAGAAGAAATAAGTGAAAAAGAATCTCTTTTAACGCAGGGTTTCACTAATTGGACAAAACGCGATTTTAATCAATTTATAAAAGCAAACGAAAAATATGGCCGCGATGATATTGACAATATAGCTAAAGACGTAGAAGGAAAAACTCCAGAGGAAGTGATTGAATATTCACAAGTATTTTGGGAACGTTGCCATGAATTACAAGACATTGAACGTATAATGGCACAAATTGAAAGAGGAGAGGCTAAAATACAGAGACGACAATCTATTAAAAAAGCTCTGGATCAAAAGGTCAGTTAATACTTATTTCCTACACACCTATAATGAAATAAAAATTTCAGATGAGTAGATACCGTGCACCATTCCATCAACTGAGATTGCAATATGGTAATAATAAAGGTAAAAATTACTCGGAAGTTGAAGACCGATTTTTGGTGTGTATGTTACATAAATTGGGCTTCGATAAGGAAAATGTGTATGAAGAATTGAAAGCCTGTATACGGTAAGCAAAACTAATTCTTGAAATAACACGTTATTTTATAAAATTTTATTTTATACCAGTGCTTCTCCACAATTTCGTTTCGATTGGTTTCTTAAATCTCGCACTGCTGTTGAATTACAACGTAGATGTAATACACTTATAACACTTATTGAACGAGAAAATCAAGAATTGGAAGAGAAAGAGCGCCAAGAGAAAAAGAAGAAGTCAACAAAAGGAGCTGGAGGAACACCGTTACAAGCTACTGGACAAAATAACAAGAGTCAAAAAAGAAAATCTGAAGTATTAGTCAACGACAAAAATAAAAAGAAAAGAAAATAAACTAAATTTAACTGCTACGAGATAATGTGAAATTTACCCTAAGTTCATTTTAAGTAAAATTTTTATTTAAGAAATTTTTTTTGCTGAAATTTAATGCAAATATTCCAACATTAAAAAAAATAAATTAAAAAAATATAATAGCGTTTCGTGGTATATTAAATATCTTTATCTTATTAAAAAAAATGTAACATACTCGTAATAGGTAAGTTCATTATTTCTTTGCCTTTTGATTTTGCGTAAAATTTTGTACAAAAGAATCTTTAGGTATTTCTGGGAAATAAACATTTGCATGAACCTGTATAATTATGTATGTATACATAATGTTTATAAAAAGAAAAATTTACTGAAATGAGGTTTGCGATGGCAAGTGTTGCAAGAATGAAACTCCCCCAGCTCAGTTACACTAGCCTGCGTATACATATAATGATATAAATGCTATATGTACTTGTATACTACTTGTATTTTATATGGTTCATCCATAGACTATTGATTTAATAGAATTATCTCCCTTTTAATAGGGCTTGTGTCTAATGATTTTCCGAAAAAAATTTCTTTTGGGAACTTTTGTGATTTGGACAATCAAATAATTCAACTAAAATAAAACTTATTGCTAAAAATTTAAATATCAAAAACCTTTTCAATTGCGCAAAACAATTATTGTCTAACACTTAGTGTTAGAAAAATATAATTACAAAATATAAAAAAAATTTTTTGGTGAAGTATTTAAGGAGAATCTAAATATGGAAGTTCACTGTTTTTCAATTTTAAGCGGCAAACGTTGTCTGTACTATAGTGTTATTAGTAAAATCTAGTTTTCGAAAAAGAATTGGTTCATATTATATAGAGAATTGGTTCCATGAAATAATACTTGTATGATAATAATTAGTCTATGACCCAGAAATCGTTAGTTAAGAAAGATGTCAAAACAAACTAGGGGTTTAAAATGTCAATCAAATTTGGCATTGCAGAAAATTAAAAAAAATTGACCCAGTTTTATTTGTTTTACAATTTTACATAAAATATAGAGGTTGCTTTTGTTTAACAAAAAAAGTTAAAATGTCTTGGAAAGATGACAGAAGCAAAAAGTGAGGAAAAAATTGAATACAAGTGATGAGTATAATTTCTTTGAATTTTCAGAAAAAGGGAGAATTTGCGAGCGTTTAAGAAGCATCACTATAGAAACATATCAAAAAATGAAAGAGAAAATCCATCCAGTGGTCGATTGCGGCCTGAACCTGAATATAATCAACGAGTATTGGTTGATATTGCCGATTCAAGTGATGACAAATTTAGTTTCCGATCAAACCAAGTAGTTACAGGTTGGTCCCCACTAAATAGCGATGATGAAGAGATGTACGAAAGAATGAATGCACCAGATTTTGAAACACTACGGGATACACCAACAGGCAATTCCTATACCACACTATCTTCTGAGAAAGATTGGGAAACTGATGCAAATAGTAAAGACGAAGACAAAAACTTTGAAAAAATTTCGTATTTTACTTTGAACTTAGCCTTGATAAATGCTGGTTTGGAAACTATTCCTTTTTATAAAAGAATGGATTATGACAGTAACATGTTCGAGAAACAGGAAATAAAGCGAATGAATGTAGAAGCTGAAATGGCTGAAAGCAAATATCAAACAGTTTTAAATACTTATGAATTAAATAAAACAGGCACAAAAGAAAATGAATTACAAAATCCAAGCAAAGATAGCGTTTTAAATGCTGAAGAAAATTTAAAAAACGAAGAAGTCGATGAAATATCTAATACAGTGGGAGCTTTAACAGTTGAAAGTGAAAAAGAAAATTTGTCTGAATCACACACTGAAGACAAAAAACTAGATGAGTCAACAAAACAAACGCCAGATAATACGGTTCAGGAGATGCAAGAATGGTTGGATAAAGTTTTGGAATGAACTCTTTAAAAAAATTCAACGATTTGTGCACAACTTACTACAATACACAGCTTGCCTTAGAATACATTTGATGCTTTACCACGCACGGCACTTGGAATATTGCGTCAAAAAATTATAACTTTAAACTTACAATGAATTTGATTAGATACCTAGGAAATAATTATGATTGCAAAGTGTGATATGTTGAGAATATGTAACTTAAAAAAACATTTCATATTTGTATATTATATGAACGCCTAAAAATCAAATGTAATTCCCTAATTAGAAACACAAAAAATAAAGACAAAGTAAATGATTAAAAAAAAATTTCGGATACTTTAATTTATTGAGGATCGTCTAATTAACTTATAATTTTTGTGTAATATACATATATTCTTGCCCATCTAATCGCGAAGAAATATTTAAAAAATTGGCGTGTCGAATTTTTGCTTGCAAACACCCGTCCATTAACTGTGCTTACCTTACAACTTTTACGTCAATGGTTGATATATGTACGTTTCACTCAACAGAATTTGTCCGATAAGGTAATGAAATTTGTATATGTCAATCATTGATGCAAAAAAACCGGCGTGTAAACATAGGTATAGATGTTTTCAAACCATACAAAAGAGAATTAGTTGAATGTTTGTGGCAACACCTTTCTGATTGACGGCTAAAAAAAGCGGTAAAAATATTAATTTGAAATTAAATTCCTGTTGGCTGCTACAGAATATCCTTAAATCTTGAAATATTAAATTAAAATTGTTGTGCTTGTATCAGTATTTGGTTTACATGTGAGAATGCCCAAAACAAGAACTGGAACTTTAAAAAGGAAACAAGTAAGTTTAAATTTTTAATAAAATAATAAATAAATCAGTACTATATGTATATGTATATGTTGGAAATTGGAAAACATTAAGTAATATTTTTATTAGAATGTAGATCAATTTGAGGAAGAATCATCTAAAATCGAGCAAAAGTTAAATAATGACAGATTTATTGCAAAGATTGAGAGTGATAAAAGCAAAAGATTGGAGTATTTGCTGGAAAAGACAAGTTTATATGGACATTTTGTGTCCAAAAATGATATAAATGAAGAAAATCATTTATTAACTAAAAGGTATACATGCCTACATATATGATATACATACATGTAAATTACATTATTGATATTTCTACTAATTCAATACTCTAAAATTATCTTTTGAAGGTCAAAGAAGAATGTTCGACCAAGTAGCTCTAATGACATGAATTTTGAGGAAACACCATACTTTATTAAAAATGGTGTAATGAAAGAATATCAAATTGAAGGTCTCAATTGGTTAATATCGTTGTATAATAATGGATTAAATGGAATTTTAGCAGATGAAATGGGACTAGGAAAGACGTTGCAATCTATATCAATACTTGGTTATTTAAAAAACGTTAAGTAAGCAGTTATTATCCTTATAGTGAAATTAAAAACAAATTAAAGTAATATAATAATCAATTACTTAGAAGTTGCATCAGTATTCAAAAAATATCAACAATGATTTTAGGTATTTTTCGTTGTTAGGTATTTTTTAAATACCATTTGTGTTTAATTTTATATTAAACTAAAATTTAAGATGTGGATAATGAGAAAGGACAACCAAGATTTATTTTTTGTTGCATTTAGATATGTGTAGATGTAGGTACAATTGTACATATTTGTTTTATTACTTTTCAATTTTCAAAAATCCGATTATCTAGAATGCCACAATGAATCTGAAATGAATTTCATTTTATTGCAGAAAATTAAACGGACCTTTTCTAGTACTGGCTCCAAAATCAACGATATCCAGTTGGGTTAATGAGATAAGTAAATGGTGTCCCTCTTTGAGAACCTTAGTACTCATTGGACACAAATCTGAACGAGAAAATATTATTAAAAATGAGCTATTATATCCAAAAAAGTGGGATGTCTGTTTAACAACGTATGAAATATGCATGGTTACAAAATCAAATTTGAAACAAATAAAATGGTGTTACTTTATTGTGGATGAGGCACATCGTATAAAAAATGAGAATAGTAACATATTTAAAACATGTCGTTCATTTAACAGTATCAATCGTTTGTTATTAACTGGTACTCCACTTCAAAATAATTTACATGAGTTATGGGCTTTATTAAATTTTTTATTACCTGATATTTTCGATAGTTCTAACGATTTTGATACATGGTTTGATACTTTTGACTGTTTAGAAAGTAAAGATAAAACAAAGAAATTGCATTCTATCTTAATGCCATTTATGTTGCAGAGATTTAAGCAAGACGTTGAAAATTCTCTTCTGCCAAAGAAAGAAATTACTATTTATGTGGGCTTAAGTGAAATGCAACGTGAATGTTATAAGAAGATACTGAAAGATGATATGAAAACTGTAAACGGAAATGGATCTGTCTCTAAAGTAAGGCTAGCCAATATTTTAATGCACTTGTTTAAAGCTGCTAACCACCCCTATATATTTCCTGATTATGAACCTAGCCATTTAGAGCCCTTTGGAGAACATTTAGTATTTAATTCAGGCAAAATGATGATTTTAGATAAATTGTTGAGAAGACTTAAGGAGCAAGGTTCTAGAGTTGTAATATTTGGTCATTTTGCAAGATTGTTAGATATATTAGAAGATTTTTGTCACATGCGTGACTATAAATATTTACGTTTGGGGGGATCAACCTCTTATGAACAACGTGAAAATGACATAAAAAAATTTAATTCACAGGGAAGTGATATTTTTCTATACTTAATTTCAACTACGGCTGGTGGTTTAGGAATTAACTTACAATCTGCTGATGTTGCAATTTTATTGGAATCACATTTTAATCCACAAGTTGATTTGCAAGCTATAGACAGAGTACACAGAATAGGACAAAAGAAACAAGTTCGAGTATTTCGTATTATTAGTGAAAATACAGTAGAAGAAAAGTTAATTGAACGAGCTAAAGTAAAATTAAAGTTAAATGAAGTTGTTATACTCAATCAAAAAGGGCGAACGGCACTTGAAAAAAGCGAGTTAATTGAAATTATTCGTTTTGGCACAGATAAAATTTTTTCCAAAAACACTGAAACAAATAATTTGACTATAACTGATGCTGATATTGATGCAATAATGCAGCGCTGCGAGAATAATACAACAGATTTTTATAGATTAGAAGATAATAATGGTAATAAAGATAACAATAACAATATGGAAAATAAATCAAATGATGTGAATTTGGAAGGATATTTTGGAACGGACTATATATATAACTTTGAGGGTGAAAATTATCGAAAAAAATATGATTTAGATACCGTATTTGAGATGCCGCAACGTCGATGTCGATCAAAAAAATTTGTATGAAGGGAAATTCTATGATTTCTAATTTTTACCATCAGTATTATATGAAAATCGTAAAAATATCGAAATATTAGTACAAACAGTTATTAAATTTCAAAACATACATACTCGTAGTTAATAAGTCGAAGCCAAAGTATCTTACGAGATTACTAAAAAAAATTTCTTGATAAACAGGCTATGTTCCATTATATTTTAATTTATTTTTATGCATTATATTTATTTTTCTATTTAAATTTTTATCTTTCAGTAAAAAATTTTGATAAGTTTTGATAAAAATGAAAAATTAATTTATGGGTAGAGCTATTTTTTTAAATTATTATAATTTTGTATATTTTATAAGAAAAATAGTGTCTAAAACGTACAATACTCAATCTGGGAAATAATTTTATTGGTTTTTAATTTGAAAAATTATTGAATATTTTATGTTTGAATCTTTTGTTTTTTAAATTTAAAGTTAAATAGGTACAATTTCAACTATAATTTTATTTATAAATTCTAAATTATGTATATTAATTATAATTCTCCTTTATAGTATTATTTTCATTATTATTTGAAAAATAAATTTTAAAGATTAAGATTACATACCTCGAAAATTATTTTTACTATAAAATTTGAGTTACATATTTGAAAAACAAAAAGTAATTACCTTTTAGGGATGGCTAAATTTTGGATTTTTAACGTATTAAGGCAACAATTCTTTGTTGTCTATAAAATTAAAGTTATTGACGAATTATGAGCTTATTCTTTGATAGTTATGAGACTAATAAACTTTAATACGAGTATATTGCAATTTGAATTTTTATTTTGAAGCTAAAATGATATAGATGAGTTAGAGTTTGGGTCCAAAGAATATAACCATTAAAACTTTTTTAGTTCCAAAAAATATTTTGATTGTCGAAAAGGTTTTGAAAAGCTCCAAAAGCTTTATTTTGTGACTTTTTGGAAAACCGATAATCTTTTTATATTTTGAGAACTTTTAATTTTAATTTAAAATCTTGTTCCAGAAGTTATTAAAAATGAGTCCAATTCGTTTAACAAGGCTGATATTCCATTAAGTTCCCAATTGCTTCTTGACAATAAAGGCATATGTTTTGCTATATAAGTGGTTAGTAATATTTATTTTTCAACGATGAATCCTGAAAAATTTTTCGTGTTTTGCGACTATTCAATCCTTCAAATTTAATTAAATTTTAAATACAATTTTTTTTCAAAAAAGTTCACATTATGCATATGTATTTACTTTTCAATTTTAATATTTTTAACAATTATATATAATTTTTAAAACTTAACTAAAAACTTAATTACGAAACAATTTAATAAAAGTATCTATAAAATGTTAGATTTTTAGCTATTTTTTTGTATAAATATTTTTTTTTTAATTTTTTTAAATTAATATATAAATACACGATCATTATAAGTACATATATATACATACAATAAACAATGAGTCATAAATAACAATGATTATATTAAAAACTAGATTCACAGAATTACTTTTGCATACATAAAATCCTTAAACTGGGCAAAAACAAAGTGCAAATATTTGAAATCCTAATTAGATTATGTAACAAAATATAATTCGCATGGAAATATCTAACAAAAAACTAAATGTTTTTTGTTGGTTCTAAATTAATTAAACAGTATATGACTTTTTAACATTTATCAATTAATTTTTGTATGACATAATATTTAAGAATAAAATTTAATAATTTCTTCTATACTAACAGCAGCACCGCTAATAAGTGCAAATATTGCAAATAATCCTAAAACAACATTTTTTAATAATATAACTTTGTAAGGTCCCAATCGATCTGGATATAAGTAAACAGTTTCAACAAAGCTTGGTACAAACAAACCTATATTTAAGTAAATTTTTTAATTTATTAATAATAAATCTATATGATTTATATTTAAAATATATAGTTTGTTTTTTACCTAATAATGAAAAGAAAACAGCACCAACTAAAGAAATAAATGGTTCTAATTTTGGTACTCCGGCAGCAATGCCTCCAGTTATAAATATAATTCCACTTCTTAAAACAAATTGTGTTATATTATGGCGATTCTCTGGGATTTTATGTTGTATTTTTCTCCATAAAATATCCATAGGTACAAAAAATTGTAATCCATATGTAAAAAGTATAGCAATAGCCATTAATAATTTTGCAGTATCAGCTAACCTGTAATTTTATTCAAAATTTAAAAAAAAATTACATTAATATTTTAAATATACATATATTTAAATAGAAAATTTTTCATATTGACTTACGGTTCTCCTTCTTTTAGATTAAGTGTAATACTTCCAAGAATTTTATCACCATATCGAACATATCCAAAGAATCCTATTGTTGCATACAAAATAATAACTGTTATCATTGCTGTATTTAAAACACCTGGACATCCTAAGAAATGTTGAGGTTTTTTCATTGTATTTTCAACTGGCATAACAACACCAATTCCTTCCATTGCAAATATCACAGTTGCAAAAAATAATGGTAATGTATGAACTTGAGCAAAAAGTGGTTTATCATCAAAATGTAATTCCACATTAAACATATAATATAAAGTAATTGCAAATGTAACAATAATAAATACATTTGCTGTTGCCGAAAATGGTACCAGCCATTTTAAATTTCTAATTTGACCCAAAAATAATATTGGAATTAATGTGAAAACAATATAAATTCTAACATCCCAATCAAGATTTAAATCATAATTGACAACGTCGTGTAGTGATGTTGCTATAAATACAATATAGACACAACTTGCAGCAAAATATGTTGCCATCAATGAACCATCGACAAATTGCCTGTAAAACAAAAATAAGTTATAAAAAATTTTTTAAATGTTCTTAAAAATTATGAAATACTAAAATCGTTAAATTTTTATTGAAAATTTATTTTTTTTAATATACATATGTATGTATGTTATTTTCAGGACTTGTCATTTACAGAAAATGTGAGTTTTAAATTCATTGGATTGTCTTGATTAAAAACAAATATTTAAAAGCGAACTTAATAATAAGGATTCTAAGTTTATAATTTATAAAATTTATTTTAAAAAATAAGCTATAAAGATCGTTCAAAAAATCTTGGAATTTTTACGTGATCGCAAGAAAATTAACAAAATTTAAATGTAAGTTTTATAATATTAATTGGAAATTATTATCTTGAATATAGTAAAAAACTTTATGCGTGATATTTATGATAAACTTGTTATTACATATAGATTTTAAGATAAATTATATTGATAAAAATACTTACTTTGCAAAATTTGACCAAGGTCGAACAATTTTTGGTCCATTTTCAAAAACCTTTTCAGCTGTTTCAGCAAAACCTAAACATGGCACACGAATATCTTTACAGATTTGATGTGAAGTTTTTACCTAAAATTAGAAAATTTAAATTATAATAATTTTTTTTTATTAATATTAATTATATTAATAAATATTATATTAATAATATTTAAAATTTTATAATTATATATGTGTGTGTGTATGTATTGAAAAATTAATTTTTAACTTTATATATTTTTTTTTTCATTTCCTTTTGTAGACGCTGAAATATAGTATACATTAAATACGAATTCCTAATCTATTTAATATTATGTTATGGACACGTGAAATGATCGATAATTTGTTTTCTTACTGAAAATGCTTACTGAACAATAAAAAAAACATAAGTAATGTAAAACAAAGCATTTATTGTTGCATTTAAATTTAAATACATACATACATATAATTGTCATAAAATGAATTTACTGATTTCTCTAATAAATTATTATATATTGAGATTTTAAAATGTATGAAATTTTTGAAAATAATATTTTTTATTTATGTAACAACAAAAAAAAATTAAGTAAACAGAATAATAGAACTAATTATAATGGGTGAAAAGTATATAATTATTTCCTTATTCTATTGATATATTTAATTAATAAAAAAATAAAAGTAATGAATTAGCAATTTTCTTTTTAAAACTTTCATACATTTATTATTCTATTTTAAATATAATAATATGTTATTAAAATATTTTTACAATAAAATAATGTTTCATCTTTTTGTATAGCTTTAGCATTTATTTTTCGAATTAATTACAGACATTTTTTTATGAATTTTGCAAGTTAGTTAATAATTATATTATATAATTTTTTTTAAAACAGTGTGTATTTTATATGTGTGTATGTATGTATGTACAAAATCTACAGTAAACTAGTTAAAATACCACTCCTTATATTTTCATTTTAATCGAAAATAAATTAGAAAAAAATATATTTTATATGTTAACCTTTATGGTTGTTACTATTAAATTCAATTTATAAAAATGGAACGTCATAATGAATATATACAGTTAGAAATAATAATAAAGAAAAACAAAATTTGTATGTATGTATGTATTTTTAATTTAAAATGCAAGTAATTTATCAAATAAATTTTATTATGTAAATAAATTGTAATAATATTATTATATAAATATAATTAATTTATATATATATGTAATGTTATCGATGTAAATTGTTTATGACATTGACACTAAAAAATAGTTAATTTATTTTTGAATCGGATTAATTACCGGATATGTAAAAATAAAACTGTTTATTTTGTATATTTTTTTTAATTGTGTATATAAATAAGTTTAAATATTATATAACAGTATGTAACATAATGGTGATTTTAATTAGGTTATTATAGAAATAGGTTATTTAGAAATAGTGGATTCAGTAAATCCTGAAAAAAAAAATAAATATACATACATAAATTATTGATGGAAAACTGTAATATTAACAACTTAGTATACCATTCTAAATTTAAATTAAAATGTATTATATTTCAAAAAATATGAGTATTTCATTATTTTTTACACCATATACAATTATAACACAATTAATTTTTAAAGTAGTTTTCAGATAGATTTTCTGAGATAAATTAAAATAGCGCATATTTTCGTATTTAACTAAATTGTGTTTATTTGAAAATAATGTGATATACTTTAACTATACTCAAAGATTTATGCATACAGAGAATATTAAATTGTAAATTGCAATTATTTGTAATTACATAGCTACATGTAAAATATTACATTTTTATAAATGAGAAGTTTTTTTTTATCTATTTACAGACAATAAGTATTATCACTTGAAATCGAAAAATCAAATAAGTTAATCAGTCATTTAACTTTTGCCTGTAGACAACCTTATTTATTCTAAGTCCATCTATACGCTCTAAATAATGATAAATTGTAAATATATAGACAGATAGCTTTCAGAAAAAAAATTCTGTTATTTTTCTTCTTTTTAATACATGTTTTATATTATTAATATTTTATTGATATAATTGTGTTTAAATAAAAAAAAATTGTAATTATATTACAATTATTATTATTTAATTTATGATAATATATATTTTAAATCAGTATATGAAATTATATATTAATATTAATAACTTACCAATATATGAACACAATGTGTACATAAGAAACCAACAATTACAGTACCAAGAAGACCAAATAATAATCCAGCATTTTTAAATGCCATTGGCATTGCTAATATTCCGCTACCAAGAGAGCTTTTTAATAAATGAGCTAATGAACCCATAGTTGAATTTGAATTTTCTTGATCACGATTCTCAAATGGATTATAATCATCTTCATATTGTAAACCTTTTTCAGTTAATTCAGCTCTATATATGAATAATATAAAAATATTAAAATTAAATTAACTATTGAATTTATTAAAAAAAAAATTTGTATGTAGTGCTTTCTAATACAATTAATTTGAAAAGAATTCTCAAATTTTATGGTCTTATAAATTGTGAAATATATGAATAATATTTATTTATTGACAGAGATAATAATGGATTTTAAATTAAATTTCAAAGAATTCATGTTGATAAATTTTATACAAATTATAAAAAATTTTACTGATAACTTGTATTTGTACATTATTTTATTTGCAGATATACACTATAAATTTGGACAATCTTATACAAAATAATGCATTTTGTGATCTGGTCGTATCTTTAATAGTTCAACTGATTTGATTTGAAGAATATATTAAAAGAGAAATTCGGAACTGGGTTTATATACTAACTATACATTTTATATTTGTCATTAAATTTAATTAAAATGCAGCTTGGTAAGTATGTAAGTTAAATTGTACCTAAGCTTTAAGAATTTACAAGTTTTTTATTAATTGTGTGTCTTTTCTTTTAGATTTGAAATGAATTTTTATGATTAAATAAATTTTGAAATAAAGATGACAATATCAAAATATGTATCTATATCCATACAATAATTATCAAAAAAATTAAATGGCCTTAATGTACAGATAATAATTTTTCGAACATACCTTGAACTAAAATTATCTAGTGTAAAAACTGATCCGGTTTTTTCATTATTATCCCGTCCTGGTTGACTTAATGACGCAGGTGGTGTTTTTTCCGCCATCTATAATTTGTCAAAAACAAAGCAAAAAATCATTAATATAAGTATAAGATATGTATGTATCAGTTATGAATGACTTATTTTGATAAAAAAAAAACAGAAATTATTATATAATAATTTTAAGTAATAACTTTGTATTGTTATTGAATTATCTACAATTCGGCTTCTTATAAAGTCAATAAAAATGTAATAAATTTTGATCAAATATGTTTTTATATATGTTATACAAAGTAATATGTACTTGAAAAAATATAACGTGCGTGTACCTTTAGTAAATTGTATTTTCGCAATTAATTTTTTTTTTTGATAAATTATTTATTATATAAAGTAATAAATATTAAGGTGCCAAATTTAATAGCTATTATAACCAATTCATAATCCGATAATTGTTGGTAATTAAATCTATATGTATATATATTGTACAATTAGTGAATGTTACTTGTAAAATATAATAATGATATGAATAATTTAGTAATAATCATTTACTAACTATAAATTATGTAGACTTTAAGTCAAGTACCTATGTTATGATATATGTGTATATATATTTATATTAGTTAATTATTTTAAAAATATTGCCATTGAAATATTTAAGATAATGAATGAATTTTTTTATTAATCGTTTTAAAGATATTATTAAAAAAATTTATATTTATTATAAGAGTTAGAATTTTAAATTTTCATATACATACGTAAAAATTGAAATATTTTTCTTAGGTTAAAATTTTCAAAATATAATTATGCATATTATGCGAATACATTTTGATAAACTTGTTAAAAAAATAATATTTTATCAAAACATATAATTAATTATGTAAATTTGTATATGAACTACTATTTTCACCCGATCTAGAACTAAATTTTAAGTAATGAAAGTGTATTTGTATATCTAAATTTATTACAATATAAGATTGTTTAAAAGTTTAAAATTTTTGAGAATTTTTAAAATTTTATAAAGAGATTTGTGAATACTTAAAACCTTCTAAAGTTATCTTTAACGAAATTCAGAAACTTTTGAATTGAGATAGAAATAGGCAATTAAGTATTAACAAATAATCTTTATTCAATAACCGTAAACATAGCCATATATTAAGTAGATTGTGAAAAAAGATTAATTTTATTAAAAATTGGAGTATCTATTAAAATTTCTTAAGAATATTATTTTTTTTCCCAAGTATATTATTTTAAATTCAACTTTATTTATATTTGTGCGTATAACATAACATATCCGTAACATACATAACATAAAGTATATTTTCCATCTTAAATAGAATCTAAAAAGGTGCTCCAATTTAAAACAATAAATCATTAATTTTATCATATAATGATTTTATCATATATATGAACGCTATATTATGTTCAAACACCTAATAAGAGCTTTTATTAATATTTTACTAGTATATAGAGTGATTATCTATAGACAAACTTGAATTTTAAAAAATAATCTGAATAGGTCGTGTGCTTAAAATTAATATTTTTCAAGTATTAATATTTATATAGGATTTAAAATAAATTTAATTTATATATTTAATTTAAAGTATATTATAATATAAAAAATACAATTAATGGAAAATTTTTAAAAATTTTATAAGATATTTAATATTAACATAGTATAGTTATTTATTTATATATAAATATTTTTAATTATGTTTAGATATAGTAGAATAATAATTAAAAATAATTTAATTGAATTATTTTATATTTGTTAATTATGTATAAATATATGTATGTAATTTGGGGAAAAATATTATGACTTCAATATTACAAATATATCATCAATTAAATGAACTTTTTACGGCTGAATATAGAAGAGGTTAAAAAACATTTTAGATGAAATTTCTATTAATTTCAAAAAAAAAAATTATTTTATTTATATAAATATTTAAAAGATTTTTAAAAAAGTAATTTTCTTATTTATTTTTCAACAAATTAACCTGGAGGAATTAGATAAAAAATGGCAGCAACAATAGAATATAAATTTTAATAAAATAAACCGAAGAAAATTTTTACCGAAGAATTTTTTTACCGAAGAAAATTAATTTATTTTGCAAAATTTCGAAGGGGACAAGAGATTTCTCTTATTGTTTACTTATTTCACATTTTTTTAAGTAAATTATTTCCATATCTTACACAGATCATATTTTATTTTTACCAAAATTGTACATACCATAATTGTACTAATTAAGTAATAATTTATCTTTAACACATTTGTACAAAATTGTACCCATATTTTTCATTAACAAATACACCTTGTACATTGTATGTCTTTTAAAGAACATTAAGAATATCTTCTTATAACGTGAATTAATTCAGGTACTTCATATTCAAAAATATTTAATAATTGATAAAGTTTTGATTGCGTTCGATTAATATTACAAGTACATGTTTTTTTTTTTTTTTGAAATTTCCATAATTTTATTAAATTGGCATTAAAGCCGGAAGATTATACAGGATTATGTTTTGAAATCGGTCATTGAAATGATCATTCAAATTCTTGAGATAATTTTGATCGAAATTACGCATTAAAAATTTATAAAATGTAACATTTATCTAATCAAAATCTAACGTCAAGAAAGAAAAATGAATGAAATGTTTTTGGACTTTTTTTTTGAAGAGGAAGAAGAAAAATTCAATAAATCATAGGAATTTATAGAAATTGAATAGCATTTAAATATACTAAATTTTGAAATAGTTTTATTGATGATTTTTTTTATAAAGCTTTCATATATTATACATATATACATAGCTCTCCTATATTAATTAAAAAACTTTTGTGTAATATCATAATTATTTATAAAATAATTTAATTTAAATTATAAAACTCTTAGGCATTAAATTGCAAAATTTTAATTATTTAAAATATTATTTTCTAATTGTGTTTTGTAATAATAGTATAATTGTTTGAAGTTTCACGTATTCATAAGTATACCAAAAAAATTAAAATGGAATTTTATAGTTTTGTATTTTGTACCTGATTAATCCTAGTTTTATCCGATTGAAACTGAATCGGATTTAGCAAATTTTAATTTTAATTTTTTCAAACATTATTTTGGGTAAATTTATTAGTCATTAATTACTATATTACATATGTATATATATATATATAATAGATAACAAAATAACTAAAAGGCTAAAACTAAATTTTTGTAAAATACAAATTTTTTTCCATTTATTTCAATCATTTTAAAATATTTAGGTACAGGTATAATAATTTTTGCTCTGTGTAATGGTATTATTGTAATTAATCATATAAATTAAGTAATTATGTATTTATTATAGTCATTTCATAAAATTCAAATTTTAATTTTGATGCTCAGCAAATAAATAAATTTGTATTCGATGATATAATTATTATAAGTATGTAAGATAAATATAAAGTATTGTATTTGAAGAATTAATTTAATAAACTTTAAAAATTTTTTTAATAGGTATAAATATATGTATATATACGTGGTTCCTAAGGACATTTTTAATTGCATAAAGGTATATTAAATAAGAAGTATTAAAAATTGTTGTTGTTGTTAAAATTTTATTTTAATTATATATTATAAAACTTTCTAATATATTCTTATTGTACTAAAGTATTTTGCAAAAAATAATAATAGATTCAATAATTTGCAATTTGTGATTCTATATAATGGGTAAAAGCTAATATTAATAATAGTAATAATAATTATAATAATTATCTTAAATATTAACCTTAAATATGAGTAATATGAGTATTTGTTGCTAAAATAAGCGATCAAAAATATCCGAATCACTCAAAATGCATAACTAAAATTTTAATTTTGTAGTTAAATAATTATTAAATACTCAATATTTTATATAAATATAATCACAAAATATATAATAATATATTAATAATAATTTTTATTTTTTTTTTCAAACTTACTTTTAAAATTTATGTCAAAATATCAATTTTTGCTAGTATCTGTTTTTGTGCAATATAATAATTTTTGTATGTAATGTTTAAAATGTAATTTGCATTTATTTATACACTTTTAAATTGTTTAATTAAATTATGTTAAAACAACAAGGTGCAAATTATTTAAATTTCTATGAAAAAATCTTCAAACTTCTTTTTTTCAAATTCACTTTATGTTTAATTAAAAATCGATACTAATAATTTCTTTTATTTATTTTTATTCGAAAAAGCAAATTATTATTTAATTTTTTTTTTACTATAACGTAAAATTTCTAATTTCTAAAGTTACTTTTAATTTTAAATATTATTTAATATTTATTTAAATAAAAAACTCATTCTTGTATAATATTAATTATAATAGTAATATTAATCAATATAGTTTTGCTTATTATAATTATAATAATTACAATAACTTATAAGAGAAAATTGTATTTTTAATTTTAATTGTATTTTATCACTTTGTAAGACTTCCAATTCGTTTGTTAGTCTTACTTATACTAGAATTAATTTATTAATTTTACACCTATTAATATATAAATTCGATTTAAAATTTCTTATTTCAAAATGGTAATGATTATCTACTAAATTTTTATTTTATTTTTTATTTTTTTTTATTTTTTTAATGTGTACATATTAACTATGTTTTTTAAAGCCCTTTATCAAATTTCCATTGCTTCGAAAGCTACAAAAAAAAAAAATGAAAGAAAAAAAATGTACAATTACTTTTATCTTAATCGCTCTCTTATTCTATATCTCTAATTTTGTTATAATTATTATGAATATAATAATAATATATGTAGATATACGAGTACGTATATAAAACGCGTTTACTAACAAAATAGAAAAGATTGTTAATTGAGCAAAGTCTATAAAATAAAACGAGGTAGGCTGGCATACTTAAAATATAGTGTTGATTAAGAAGATAAACTGGAAGGATTACAGTAGTTATAAATACATATATAATATACATACTCACATACTTATATGAATTAGTGTACTAACATATCATTATATGCGTATATGAAATTCTAGGAGAATGAACTTTTTGTAATCTTAAGATAAGATTAGAAGTATATGTATAATAAAACTTTCTCTAATATAATATGTGTTATGTACAGAATATAATGTCTTATAGGTGTATATAAAATAAATTCATAAATTTAATTGATTTATGTTGTATGCCTAAAATTTTTTGTGTTGTAAATTATATCTAGTATTGTATGACAATACTGCGGTGTGTATACAAATGTACACCTATGCTTTGTTATCACACAATTAAATTTAGGTCAAAACCTTAAAAATTGATTGAAAAATCTAATGATTCTAAGGTCACATTTGTTTTACTTTATTTTCTTCTTACATAATAATATAATTTTAATTATACTTACATATGACATTATTTTTGAAGGGAAAACTGGAAAAATTAATATTATAACGAGTGTTTTTTTTTTTGCGTTAATATATTTCTCTCAGTTTCTCACTATATATTTACATATTTCACTATATAAAGAGATTGCTGTCCAAATAGCTTTTGCAAATTGTTAATATTCAATATGTATTGACTATGAGTATGTTCAGTAAGCTGTCAATTGAATCTTGAGGTCATTCAATTTACGAGTAATAAAAATTTTGGGGGAATAATAATCTTAATATGAAAAACAGACCCAAAATTAGATCTTTCAATTATTGTATTTTACCTATAATTAAATAGGTTCAATTATTAATAACCATATTTTACAATGTTAGATAGCTATATTTGTTTGATACCTGCGTTTATAACCTACTGAATAAACTTGAATTAGGCAACTCAAATATATAAAATATTGAATATACTTGTGTATATATATAGGAAATAGAACTATTATTACGGCATATTTTTAATATGTGTTTATGTATAACAAAACATATATCTTATGTATAACAATAATATTGTATAATTCTATTCTATATTTTATTTTTGGGAAATCATTAAAATTCTTTTTATTAGTAAAATAAATAATTTTTAAATTAATATACAATTATATAATTTGCTACAATATAATATTAAAAAATGTTAATTATATTAAATTTAATATTAAATTCTAATTATAAATAAAATTTAATTATGAGAAAATTTAAAAAATTCCATGTCTTTAGATTAGTATGTAATTTTTAAATGCGTTTAAATTACATTAATTTTTTTGAACAATATTTTAATTGTTGCTCTTGAAAAACAATTCTTACATTATTTACTTAATTACACTACATATATGAGTAAATAAAGTCAAAAGTTCAATGCTATTGAAAGGTAAGTGCACTTATACTTATTCAAAAACATGTGCTTACCCTGTAACTACGTAATATTTAAGTGTAATACTTTAAGTAATAAAAAAAAAATGTATGCAATGTACGTAAGTACAAATACTAAATATTTTGTAATCAATTATAAACTTCTGTAATTTAAATTGTAAATTTATTATCATTGATAAAATTTATATAGAATTAAAAATAAAAATTTATTTTTATCAACGATATTTTGATAAAATTCTAATTCAGTAGGCGATTGTTGCAAATTTAAAAAAAAAAAAAACTTTATTATTTTTCTAATAATTTGTAATTTATTTGTATTTTATCTTATTTTATTTATTATTAAAAATATTTTATTTTGGATTAAGATATTATGATATTGAAATATTGTTTTAATTAAATTCATATACAATTTGTAAACGTGCCGTGTATTTAAGATTACAAAGAAATATTTTATCTTATTTCATTGTTATAAAATGCAATGAGAAAATTTTGTGAAATAACAAAATTTTTTATAAACTCTTAATAATGGGAAATTTTGCAATATATTTATTATTAATGTTTACATATACATATAATTGTTTTTCAATATGACTAATATATTATAATGATGATTAATTTAGTAAGTAATTTAGTAAAAGATTTAAAGTTTATTAAATTTGCACTTTATGATTATATAGATATTTGACACAAATCATTAATATTCTACTTTTAAGATCTAATTCGAGACGTCTTGTTAATATTCCTCCATATAGAGAGTTTGATTGTTACAATTATTTATAGTGTATTGGATTCCAGGATTTTTAATAAATTACCAGAAGTCATTAGAAATATTGTGTCAGAATTAATTGTTCTTAGAACGATTAAAGTCGGACCACAAAATTTAAACTCTACTGAAATTGAAAATTTATTGAATTTCTTAGTTATTAAAAAAATCACATTTTAGCATTATTATTGAATCATGGTTTTTCTTTCCCACTTTTTAGTTTTTGCTTGAATGAAGTTTAAACTAATTTTTTTCTTTTTTTAAGTTTTATTGATTTTCTTTAATTTCCTTTAATATTCTCACTATATTTCTTTGTATAAGTTTTTTTTTATATTTTTAGTAAATTACAAATCATTCGCCATATGCCTTTTCTTACATAGTATTGAACGATTTAAAACTATTTCTGTCCTATAAATTTCTTTTGTCAAAATTTAGAATTATTAAATACGGGATATTTTACTTGAATTTTTTTTTGTGTTATAACTTATATAACATATAAGAATTGAACTAAATATATACTTACAAAAATTAAAATTAAAATTAATTAATTATTCCGAATCAAAAATATAAAAAACTAAAAAATATAATTGTCTATTCTAAATCAAATTGCCGATAAAATAAAATTGTAGTATAGATTTTCAAAAGTATAATAATGTGAAAGCAATATCGTATATCAAAATTTCATATCGTAAATGATGTTCCAATCACAAATTTCGATAGAAAAACTTACAATGTTTTTTTAAATTTTCAGAAACAATATTATTAATCTTTAATTTACAAATATTAAAGATATTTGAAAAATTTGTTACTTAGCTCGTATTTCTGCACTTCGCCATCGATATTAAAATAAAAATAAAAATTTTTATAATATATGAAAAATTGCAATATAATAAATAATATTAAAATTATTTTAAAAATAAATAATAAACAAATAAAATTCGATGTACCTAATCCATATGTATGCATATAGGCACCGTTATTCTTAGAATATAATTAATTTACTACAATTATTTTACATACATCTATACATTATGTACATAATTAAATTTAATCTTAAAAGCTTTTTTTGACAAATTTATGTAACAATTAAAAAATTTTATTTCAAGTACGAAATATTTGAAATTTCTTTAAGTAGGTACTTAATTGCTTTAGATTGTATTATAATTACCCTGTATACAGTTATACAAAATATATTGTTGTTTCTTTATCAAATTGATAATCGAATTAAAGATTAGATGATTATCGTATAAATGATTTTTGTTGATAATTAAATATCTACTAAGTGCTTTTTCCGTTTGGTATTCCCATTAATGTTAAATTTCTATTGAAATATTTTCTTATTGATGTGAGTTTAATTACTTGTTTATAATAAAAGTTATTATATAAGGATTTTGATTAGAAGTGTGCATAAAAAAAGGACGATTCTTTTTCTGAAAATTTTAATAATTTTTTTTTAAAATGTAATTTTGGAGTTTTATAGGTATATAATATACAAAGATAAATGAAAATGGTCATGCAACAATTAAGTTTATTTTGTTTTTGTTATATAATTTGTGTTATAATTAAGAATATTGTTGGTTAATGAGAAAAGAATTGAAATTATTTACATGAAATTTATCAATTTAAAAATCAGATTAAGAAAAGATTAAATTTTTAAATTGAATTCCATAGATATATTGGAATTAAAAATTTAAGAAATTTTGATATTATTCTAAAAGAAGACCAGTTTTCCGTATGAATTTGAAATTCCAAATTTTGAAAATTTCCCCAAAAAAAATTTTTTTGAATTTCCATGTGCTCATTGTGCATAAATGGTTTGGAGCTTTTTTTTAACTGCTTTCTTATATTTTTTTGCAATAATATATAAAATTTCAGAAATTCAAGTAATTTAATTATTATGTGACCAAATTATTTAAGAATAATAATTTTAGTATAAATATTAAAAATATTGTAAGGTTACATAATTAAATCAAAAATTTTTTAATTATTTTTAAAAATTCTTTTATAATAATGCATTTAATATTAACAATATAGTTCAATGTCATGGTAATTATTTGAAATATGTAATTAGCACATTTCTATTGTAAATATAATAATGGTGTAAAATTTTTAAAATTTTCCATAATA